TAGACAATATAATGTGATAATTCATATATATGATCGGCAAATGATCGACATTGTGATATAAGCATGACCGCTATGCTAGTGACAAGTTATATTATTTTGCATCGCTTCTATTTTCATTTATTTACTTACCACTTCCTACATTAAAGCCAGAGCTTTTTCTGATAATATTGTTCCATTTTATAGTACTTTCTAGTATGAATATCACAAAATCCATATTCACTATAAGTTAATTTATTGCATGCATATTCATTGCAAGGTACCTAAGAAGGAGAATTACAATGAATATGACATCCTTTCAGATGGTAGCATCTCCAATTGCAAATCTTACCACTCCAATGAATATAAGTACATTGATAAAATACCATTTTTAATAACTATGAATAGTTGGTTTATATATCGGTTTATATATTTCAGAATTAATTTTTATTTTAAACTTTTTTCTCCCGGAATATATATTTTCTTTTAAACTGTATATTTGTGATATAATATCATGACCTAATCTGAGCTTTCTGAGTTCTTCTCCTCTGATGCCTCTGCTCCACTTTTTCACCCAGAGGCTAAAAAAGATAAAATAGAAGGCCAGGTAATTTGCTATTCTGGCAAAAAATACTTGACTAGTATTCTAACACGAGATGATATAGATGCAAAAAATGATGAGAAATTAACCGCAATCCTTGATGATGCTCTATCCAGTTGCCAAGAAATTTCATTTATGGCCATTGACAATGAAGAGTTATCAGAAAAAATAAATGGAAAGTACAGCTATGTATTACGTCTCTACAGTTCTCTAATTAATGGCCAAAAGGCAGTAGTAACTCTTTATAAAATCCGGGTATTCTTTGACATTTTTGTACTGGATAGGAAGACTCCAGATGATTTTGAAACAAAAGTAAGAGGTATTCTCTCTGGGAAGTTAGAGACTCAAAAAATTGAGCATATTAAAGCTTTCCCTTTTCGGGTTATCATACAGAAAAAAGATATATTTACAAATTTATACGCATGGTACTGGTAAAAGAAAAATAGCTATTAAGATTATTCAAGATAATAATTACGAAACTGTTTCAGATGATTTATACTCATTTTATCGTAAGCTAGCTTGAGAAAACAGAATCCAACTTTCCAGATGATCTATGCTAAGTAAATATATTTATAAGAAAGGAATTGATCCTCTTTGCCCACACGTATTCTATACTTCTAAAAAAAATTTTTGACTAGTGAAAGACCTAAAAATAATAGGTGACCATTTTTCTATTTCAACACTCAGAAGGGATTGTACTCTTGTTCTTATATGGGATATAGAGAAGCAATCACAAGAGTTGAGTGAATTTGCCAAAGTTCTTGATCTAAATTAAAATGTTTTTATGATTTATATGACTTTATATTAGAAGGATGATCCAAAGCCATTAAAACAGTTTTGTCTTGTAGACGTTGAGACAGAATCAGATCTGTGATGGATTACAATAATTTGCAGAAATCAAGTAAATCTGTTAAAAGCTTTCGCTCTCTGTTAGTAAGTATTTGCCTCTGACATCCAAGTTGGGTTTAACGATTCAGACTATGATTGAAGTTTTATTATAGAGAGAGCATATTATCTTAACATACTCGAATGGATGTGAAAACAAATGACAGGAAAGTTTGAAACAAAGGAAGAAATTATAAAGTAGAAATATTGTGAAAAGATAGGAGCGAAATCTAAGAATGCTTTTAAGGCAAAGGTTGCTATTAAGCCTCCTGAAGAAAGCGAGAAGGATCTAGAGGAGAAAGAATATATAAGCGGTCCAATTAAGATCAAAATTAGTACAGAGGAGAATTTTACTTCTAGCTTTCTTAAACTGCCAGGTTGCGTACTGATTGATGTCTGGGTATGCCTCAAAAATGTTTTCCTCATTTTGAAGTCGAAAAGGAAGGCTCATTTAAATTCTTCTTACAAAAGTGCAGTCTTGACAGTAAGGCTGATATGCCATACAATAAAATGTGGAAAATCTATTCAGAGGCAAATAAAAGCTCCTTCTCATCAACCGCAAGAAAAATGCGTGAAGTAGCTAACTATTGCATTATAGACGCACTGCGTTGTCAGGAGCTATTGGTAAAACTAAGTATAATTAATGATTATAGAGAAGTTGCTTTTATAGCTTATGTATCTTTTTTTGATGCACACTATTGTGCAAATAAATGAAGATACGAAACCTTCTGGACGCTTATACTCAGGGTTGAAAAGTATAGTGTTAGTACAATGATTAGTACAGTTAGTACAGTTAGTACACTATAATAATTAATATAAAAATTATTACAAGTACAGTACAAGTACAGTGATAATTTTATCTAGTACATATAAAATTTCCAACCCTGCTTATGCTATTAAATGAGATATAGTTTTTAGCATGAAGGTATGTGAAAATATAAAAAAGGGAAATATTCTAGCGCATACATTTTTTCGCCTAAAAAAGATATTGAGAAGGAAAGGCCAATAACTGGTCTAGATTTTGCATCTTTATATCTTAGCCTTATTATGATATATAACCTCTCTCTGAAAAAAGTTATATTAAGTTCAAAGGATGCTGATATTGCACGAAAAATGGGAATACCCTACATGAGATTAGCTTTCCATTCAATAAGCGTGACATCTATGCTTGGTGTGTAAGATATGAAGAAGAAGGGCTTATACTCCACTGTATTAGAGGATTTATTTAACAAAAGAGTGGAGCTTAAAATATGACTGGCCTCATTAGGAAAGAAAAAAGAATAACTTGAGAAGTTGATAAGTTTGGCTAAAGAGAAAGGCAAAAGGATTTCAGAAAGCTTAAATTTAGAATATTCATCTATATACTTCAAACATGATTATTAAGATTCAAAGCAAAGAGCTTTGAAGGTATATATGAACACTTTTTATAGGGAAGCAAAAACTCAAAATCTCTAATCTTTCTTCGCAAATTAGCTTGTGAAACTACTTCAGCAGGAAAATACAACCTTAATCTTATCGCAGAATTCATAATAAAAAAAGGATTTAGGATAAAATATGGAGATACCGATTCTTTGTATCTCATCTGCTTAGATATGTATTACAAGAAATGTAATGAAGTCTTCTTCAGAAAAGAACTTTACAAGAAGCGTATTAGACCGAAATGGTCAAAATTATTATGGATGTGATGAAAAGTTGTGCAATCAAGTAAATGCTTATCTTAGGATAAAAAATGGAATACTTTATTTAAAAATGGCATACGAAGAGATATTATTTCCCGTTTGCTTTATTGGTAAAAAGAAGTACTTTGGATTGTACATGAAGATGTAGTAAACTTTAAGCTGAAAAAACTTTTTATAAAAGGGATAAATACTGTAAAGCAAGATAAATCCCAGCTTCTCAAATTCATTGAAGAAATGATTATGAGAAAGGCTATGAATATGAATAATACATGCTTAATTCATGAAATTGTTGAAGATACTCTTAAAGAAGCTTGGAACAAGGAATGGGATTTCAATGAATTTATCGTAATGGGACATGGAAGCACAAGAAAAAAAATCTTTGCAATAATCACTTTATAGGACGTATGAGAAAAAGAAATAAGAGGATTCCTGATCCTAACGAATGCTTTAGCTATATTGTTGTAAAAGGTCTACCTAAAGATGGTTCTCATAATTATTTTTAAAATTTTTAACTAGTTGCAACTTAAGTTGCAATACTTTGAGTTGCAACATTTTATGAATTTTATATTAAAATAAATTTATAAGGAGTTGTAACTTACCGAGTTGCAACTTCTTAATTATAGTGTCCATCTTTAGGTCTACCTCTATATAATAAAGATGGTAGAAAGGAGCTACATAGAATTAGTGATTTTATGGAGTATGCAGACATCGCAAAAGAGCAAAATATAGAAATAGATATCAATTATTATTTAGGATCAACAATAGCAATATGCGCACGCTTTATTAATAAGGATGATCACTCCCATCAGATAGAATAATGCAGATCAAGATTCAGATAAAAGGGAAAAGCAGATCGATGAATATTCCTAAAAAATGGCAAAAAATTGGTTTATAAAATATATCAAGAGCCTTCAATAAACTTTCTAGGTATTTCAATTATTTATCCGAAACTGATATAGACAAGATCATTGAATTATATGGTTAAGAACTCTTAACAGGATGTGACAATTTCAGCTAAGAAATCTTAGTTGTTAAAGCGCTTCGCATAATATTATTTATATATTTTTTTTCGTGCAATAATACCAGCTAACTTCAATTCGTATCTTCGAACTTCTGGCCTCTGATCATACAGTCCAGCATTGGAAATACCCATAGATGATAAAAAATAGTTCTGGTTAGAAGGGATATTACTTTTTTCTTTCAGCTTATCACTTTACAAATTCCATATTTTTTTTCTAACGAGCTATATAATTGCAATAAGTAGTAAGGCAAGTATGGAATATATAGGAGCTTGTCAATAGAAAGTAAGGAAATCTAAAAAAAAAAAAGTTTTTGAGTTAATGTTAAATCTGGAATTATTTTACTAAAAAAATATATTTGCATATGAAGTGAAATTTTAATTTTTTTTAAATTTCCTCCTTTTCTATTGACAAGCTCCCATATTATCAACGGTAATATCAAAGAACTTATGATGATAGCAGCAGTTGCTGGTAAAGATACCGTTTTTGCGTCACTTAATTGCTTCGCAACCCCTTCTCTCGAAATAAACTTTTCAGAATGTACTGATTAACTATGAACAGATTGATTAGGTAGGATATCTGCCTGGTTAATGGTCTCTTTTTGGATTCTACTTCTCAAAACTATCTCATTCTGGGGTAATAGCTCTTGCAGAGCCTCTAATATATTTTCTCTTGCAAAACTTTTATTGAGTTCTATAACTTTATCTTCAAGACTATGCTTATAGATGAGGGCTCTTAAATCATCACTGACCCAACCTGGTAGCTTTTGCAATGAATTATTTATAGGTGAAGGTAGAGGATTAGAAAGATCTTTTGAGGATAAATCATCCTTTGCCTGTTTCAATTCAAGCCTAAGAGAATCATTTTCTTTAAGATCAGATGAATTTATTTGGGCTGGTTCTTTTAGTAATCATCCTACTATATGCGAATCACATTCTAATTCTAGATCTAGCAACTTACCTTCCAATTCAACTACCTTAGCTTAAAGAGAAAGTATCTTAATCTTATCAGCGAATGAAGCTTTCTACGTCAAAGTCACCTCTCTCTTTAGTGTTTTAATATTTGATTTGAATAATTTGATTTCAGCAGAACAATTGGCTTGTTCTGCTTCATACTCATGTTGACTCTCAGAATATGACTTTTGTTCAGAAGTAAATTGGAATCTAAGCTTAGTATTTGCACTATTTAGCTGGCTAACTTTATTTTCAATATCAGCATAGATTTGATAGAACTCCTTTTCTTACCCATTGTACTTATCTATTAGCTTTTCATTAAGATCATTTATCTCAGAGTTAAATTCGATAACAGATCTTAATTTTTTTCAAGTTTTTGCTCATATGCACTACCCAGCCAATGTCTTCTTTTATTGATATTTTTCAGTGTATGCACATTGGATATAATCTTAGCATGGTTACATAGAAGAAAAAAAATACGCAAATAAAATTCACCTAAACATTAATCGATAATTTGACCTACCTTCTCGCATATTAATAACAAACATTCTCCAATAATAAATATCGCTTTTTATCATTCTTTACCATTCTAAAATAATAAATAATGTTTTTTATTGTTCTTTATCATCATAAAACAATAAGTAATATTTTTTATCATTTTTTATCGTTCTAAAATATTGCAAAAAATACTGGAGGATTAATGCCTACCCAATTTTTAAAAACACATTATCGATGAGGTGCCAGTATTTTAACACCAGAGCAGGTTGAAGAAATCAGAAGCTTTAAAAATAAGGTCTCCGCATATATGATAGTAAAGGACTATCATATCAATAAAAATTGCATCTCTGATATATGGGATAATAGTAAACATTTACAATAGAGTGGGAAATATGTATTAGCTGATATACTTCTAAAGATATTTAGCCTCAGCGAAACTGATAGCAAGAAAAAAAAAACTGGAGGGACTAAGCTGAAAGAAAAATCCAGGTTCAAATCCGTTCGTATTTCTGAATCATCTATTATTCAGATACATCCTTTAAGATCAATTTAACTAATCTCCATAAATTTAAAAAGCTCAAATATAAATAAAGAGGAATTTTATGCATTACATGAGAAGATGGAAGAAAGGAGCATAAAAAATATAGTGAATCTAAAAAATAGATTAGAAAAATAACTCATTTTTTCTCATCTTTTATCCGAAAAGATAACCTATCAAGATACCCTATCAGTATAAGTTATTAGGGTAGACTATCTCCTGCAAGTGTTAAAGGTACAAGGGAGGGAAGAGGATCAAGGGAGGGAATCAATAGAGGGGGGTTTACCATAGCGTGTCTGTAATTTTTCACAATACTCATTGATTTCTGCATTATACTTTTAGAGTGTTATATAGCATTTTTTCCAGCTTCTCATAACTCACTTTTTTTTAATATTTCATTCTTACTTAAGTCCTGTAAGTCTTGCGAAATATAGTCTGGGGTTAAGAAATATTGCATTTAGGAATAGTAGTCACATAGTTTATCTCAAGCTTATTCTTGACCTTATGCATATTAATTGGTATAAAAAATTCCTTACCATTATACTCTAATCTTAATTCTCACTTTGATGCAAGCAAATCATAATTATATTTATCGAGAAGTGTATTAAGTAAGATCAGCATCGGTTTAGAATACTTAACTATAGCAAAATCAGCATATATAGTACATCCGGATGTGAAATTTACTAGGACATTTCTAACAATTCTGAGGGATTCTGTAGGAGTAGTAGCAATGCCTCTAAGATCATATTTTTCTTTTGTATCAATTTCTAGCTTTGGTCATTTAAAGATATCCTGAGACATGATCGAAAAATTAGCATCAGGATCAACTACAGCACCTGGGATTACCAAGTGTTTGATTTTACATTTTACCGTTATAACATCTGTGGTGGGTTCTTTTCTTTGGATCAAGTCTATCTCTATAGGACCATTGATAAATTCATCATCGTCAGAATCGACCGGTATTTTAAAATCACTATGTTGTTGGTGATAAAGGGTTGTAATAGTGTCAAACTTTTCATTAAGCACC